TTTAAGGCGTATCATAGGTAAGATGGGTAAAATTCAGCAGAATTTTTGAGGTAAATAAAAATTATTATTTTTAGAGCTATTATTTTATTTATTTTTTAAAATAAATTTTGAATAAAGGAGCAAAAAGAATAATAAATTGTATCGTAAAATAAAATCCTCACATTATTTAGAAAAGCATGAATGATGATAAAAATTTTGCCTATTTATGCACTAATTGTATGATATGAAAGTTTATTTTTAGAATAGCGTGGTTGAGAGAATTTGTTATCTTAATGAATTGAGATAATATAAAATATAACCTGATATATTATAATACAATAGTTAAGAAAACAACAACAAAAATCATGTATTATTTTTGATATACAAATAACCTTTTCCCCCCATCGCATGATAGATAAGAGATCAGCAATGGGTGGGTTAAAAAAATGAAATATTGGGGATGGGTGAGAAAATTAAAGATATTTTTATAAAATAAGGCCTGGATAGGGAGGGAGAGAGGTTTGGTAGATTTAAACTATTTTTTTTAAGAGTAATAAAGTATTAAAATAAAACTAGGATTAAAGGACAAGACAATTAGTGAATTTTTTTTAAATTTTCTTTTTCAATTAAAAACATAGGCAATATAAAATTCAGGTTCGGGCATTGGTTTCAGAATAGAGGGGGGGGGGGGTGAGAAGCTTCAGTCCTGAAATAAACATAGCATCCCTAGAAAAATTTATCGTTGATTTATAAGCATTGATTAAACAAAACATTGCATTAACCTTTTTGAGCGTTATCTTTTATAAAGAACCTCATAATTAAATTAGCTTTTAAGCACCCCGTAAATTTAAAAAAAAAAAATGTCAGGGGTTCGAGACTTAGAATAAATAAAAATTCCGACTGGGCACGTGTAAATTTAATGGGGTAGGATCAATCTTAAACAGGTGCGTACGCAGGAATTTGGTCTGGGGGGGGGGGGGGTATAATAAATTTTTTTAAGAAATATTATACATAAATTTATTAAGAATAATAACTTTTCTAATACAAAATTATGTGAATTAGAAAAAAATTATATATATACCGACATTGAAAAACTATAAAATAAATGTGAATTATAAAATAAAAATATAACCACCATATGAATCACTTAAATGACCAAGATTTTAAATTTAGATATTTTAGCCTTAAAAATTTATATATAAAGTATAAAAAATTTAAATGTTGGAAATATCACAAAATGTTTCTTAGGAATAATTGTATTTTGTATATTTTGAGCTAATTTTTCAATTATCTCATCCTTGCTTGGCATTCAATGCCTATGAATATTCAAAAGATCCAAACCATTTAATGAATTTTCAGAAGTTGTACTTCATTTCATAGGTATGTTTTTCGGAGACTTGCAGGCCCGGCCTCCAGGCCGGACCGTATCTCAATTTTTTTAAAATACACTCGGGCCGGGCCCAAATTTTTTTTAAAAAAACACCCGGGCTGGGCCTGAAATTTTTTTTAAAAAAATATCCAAGCCGGGCTGTATATTTTAAAACCAAATATTTGAAATCGCCATTATTAGCTATAAAAATCAAAAGTAAATATAATTTATTTTAAAAAAATTCGGGCCGAATTTGAAAATATAAAAAATTTAAAAAAAAATCCGGGCCGTATCCTGCAATTGGTATCTCTGCAGGGCTCTTTTATTCTTCTTAAAAAAGAGGATGTTCTCTCATTAGTTTACTAATGGGAAGAGTTGCTAATATTTATATAACCATTTTAATACATTGGGAATATAATATAAAATGTGTTTGAAATAATGCAAAGCATCCATAGCATTTTTTGGGATTGTATCAACCATAGTCATTCAGCTAATAAGGCATCATAAGATACTTTAACATCTTCATGATAAAAATTAAACAAATATTTATTTTTTTTCTATCACCATCTGAAAAAGGTTGGGAAGGTTTTTGTGGAAGTAATATCTGCAGATTGGTAAGTGCTGAATGATGAATTAAAAACCATTCATTTATTTGGGTTATAAATGTATCTAAGAGAGGGGACATTGATCCTTTATTAATGTTTTGACGATGAGCTTGTTTGCTGCAAGTCGAGGGGGACAAATATTAAACACATATAGCTCTGCTTTTGACTCGACAATAACATTTAAAATATGAATCAACATTAGCTCTAATTTCCTTGAGTTCTAATAAAATGCTCTGCGCTATTCCATCTCCTTAATCAAGTCAATGTCATATTTTTGAAAAGTATTACATAAAATAGTTGTATAATTAAATAAGACATTCTAATGAGAAAAAAAATTTGGAATAAGTATTGAATCCAATAATTTTATAGCTTCTGAGGAAATATTTCTTTCAAGCCATTGTAATATTTCAGTAATAGCATTAATAATCGGCTCTTCTAAAAGCTGTTACTGCTTGATGGCGGAAGATCTCGTTGGACAAGCTTGCAATTTCTTTCTCCTTGTTGGACCAAGGAGTTTCAGGGATAATTATTATTTGACTAGAGATTTAGATAAATATTATGCCACTAGAATTTGAAAGTAATAGGTAAATATTACGCCAAGGAAAATTTGAAATCGAAATTAATTGATAAAATTAAGTAGATCAATGTGAAAAATAAATGTAATTAAATATTAAATATATATGTGAGATAGGAATAAATATTAACAGATATATAAATTAATATTAACAATAATATTTTTAAAAAATATAATCCGGCATCTGCATTTTTTGGCTTTTGGGGGGGGGGGGGGGGATTTGTTCCCCTGTCTCTCCCCGCTGCGTACGCGCCTGATCCTAAAATATTTTAAAAATTGAGCTTACAAATAAAAATTGGATTTGAAGAGCTATTACCGCGAACTAAAAGAAGGGTTAAATAAAAAAAAAATTCAAAGATCGAAAAAATTTTAGAAATTTTTTTTAGAATGTTAACGCTAATTTTTGATCATATTTTGAAATTATTCTTATAAAAAAAATATGTGTATGATCTACAAAGATTTTGGTTCATATTTTTAAGGAGCAAAAATTTGCTCAATTTTTCATTAAAGATTTTTTGTTAAAAACATTAAAAAACTGTTAAGAAGTAATATTATAAAGAAAAATAATTATCCATTTCCGCAATTTTTTTGTTTTTTAAAAATGAATTTATATTTATTTATCAATTTATACCTTAAATTAAGGTTAGAGGCGGATACTATTATAAAAATTTTTAATTATATTAATAAAATCTAGCTAAAATTTTTATTTCAAATATTTTTTTAAATTATTCAATTTATTAAATATAAAAAATTTATTATTGGTATTAGAATAAAACGAATAATTTCTATTTGTTTCAAATTTTCAAAAAGAATAAAATATTCTAAGTCATTTTAAAAAGCCCGAATGCGAGGTATGATGTAATAACTTTATTAGATTTATAAAGTGGGGCTTGACCTGTGCGCCGCCGCACCACGCTTCCGCTTAAAAAGTTTTAGCAGTTTCATAGATAAAACTCAGCGGAAATGTAACAGAAAACAGTTTCTAGTCGAAATCCTTTGTAAAATTTCCATGGACCGGTTCTAACAAAAATGCAAGCTTGCTTAAAATGATGTCTGATTCATTTCAAAGGGTTTATTCTAGATTTTTTTAGTTTGCTTTAACAGAGCTTGGAAAATGAGCTAAACTCTCAGAACTGCGCCAAATTGTATCCGAAGCCCACTTCTAAAAATTTTAATTGCCGGAATCATTGTATAAATATATTCAATCGGTACCTATTTTTTGTTCAAATTCTAAGCTCTGTGGAAAGCTTATAATTGTCACTTTTATAACCTCCATTATTTATCAAAACAGTTGTTTCAAATTTTAATTTCCTATACTTTAAATGGGGAAAAACTTGTATATAAAAGAAAAATGATATTATTCAAAAATTTTGTACATTTAATCCTACAAGTTGATAAGAAAAATTGTGTCATATATGTACCTATGGGATAGATAATATAAAATTGAAGCGGGAAATGTCCAACTTAATTTTTAAAATATATCTTGATCTACTATATATTTTAAAAAATCAATGTATAGATTCTGTTTTATAACGACTTTCAATTTTTTGCCTATGTTTTTCTTAAAATTTTTTATAGATATAGTTAAAATTATAAATATCATAAAGGGATATGTAATCTTTCAATATCTACTTGAAAGCGATTTTTAAATTCAAAAAAACCTGATTTCGGGAAAGCTCTAACATTTATAGAGTTCCCGCACTAATTTGAGACAATTTAGACAAATTTCTGTGTATTTTTATATTTATATGAAAAATCAATAAAGTATTTTATATAAAGTTAAGCTCAAGAGAGGTGCAAAGTTAAAGGCAAACTTGTATCAAATTCCCAGTGTGGTTATTTCTATATTGCTAATACATTTCGGTTAAATCAGAATTTTAAAATTTAAAAATCGCCTTTAGACCCGTTATAGTCGATAAATTTTGATAGTTCCCTTTTATTTTTTAAAAAATTTCTCCTTGGAGGGAAAATCAAACTTAAATATTATTTTTGTCATAATTAAAAAAAAACTAAATTAATTATGACATTTAATAATTTCCACAAATTTCGATCAGATATTTTCAAATTAAAAAATAAAGATATTGAAAACTTTTCATAAATTTGCAATAATGCTTTAAATGCAATTTTTTTTAAACGTTATTATGATAAGATATTTAAAATAAATGACATGTAGGAATATTTGACTAGAGTCAAAAGAGAGAAAACCTTAATAGTGGCCAAATTAGATAGATATGCCCTTAGATTTAATCAATTTACATCTTTTCTTTTTATTTACTTTCTTAAATATTACAATTATTTAGACAAAATTGAGATTTACATTTTCAAAAAAAAAAATTAATATATTATTTCAAATTCAAAACACGTTTGCTAAATTTAAATGATTATAATCAGCGAAATACAAAAAATTATTATATTACATATTATAACATCATTTTAATTTTTCCGTATCCAAATTTTAAATAAACGTTTTTTAGAAAACTTGTCCAACATTACAAGAAATTTTCTTATAAATATGATCAAGACGGATGCGTTTTTTTGTGTCGCAAGATATCGATTTTGGTAAAATTTGTAAAATTCTTTCCACAGGCTTCGCAGTAAAATATATTTTCATTTTTAACACCTTTACCTAAATCTTTTAGACTAAACTCATTGAAATTATCGTATGTAAGCTTAGAGTCCAACTTAACCAAGGCCAACTTAATGTTGCACCCGATTAGATGTTCCATGTAAACCTTTAAGATGTGTGAATTTATACATTGATTATTCTCGCCTTTAAATTCGTGACATTTATCGCAGTTAAAGGGTTGCGTAATGGAGTTGATTTCTTCGCTATCGAGGGATATTTGGAAGTAAGGGAAAGTATGTTCGAGAGATGTCGGATTTTCTAACAAAGCAGTGACACAATTTTGTAAATCGCCGACGTCTCTGCTCTGCGTACGAATATGAGTAGTCGTTGGAATTAACGATACATTTTCTGGGCGAAATGAGTGACCTCCCACCTTTTTAACGGTATAAGCCATGTCGGTAAAATTTGAAAGGTTGGAATTGATCATATTATGTAGGACCCGAACGTTTATGTCATTTGATGCAACTTTTTGACCCATGGTACTTTTCTCTGCGGTCGCCAAAATAAAGAAAGTATTATCAAGCTTCTATATAGTAGTTTAAATTTTTCATGATGGTAAATTTTTATATTATAATAAAAATAAATCTTCAAAAATTTTTGAATTCATATCAAAAAAACATTTTTGAGAATGCTTATGTGTAAGGATTTTTGATCAAAATTCAGTTAAAATTCCAAATTCTTATTATGTTAATCTCTTGTTAATTTTTATGCATAAAAAATCTTTCGTGGTGACACTAATTATTTTAACAAAAAATCTTAATTTTGCGATCTTCAAAGATTTTTTTGCTCAAAGTTTTGGGCGAAAACTTCAAAATTACTTCGAAAATTTTTTTTTCCTCTTAAACTCTGTTTAAAATATAAAATGTTCAATATCAAACAATAAATCACAAGCTGAAAATAGTTGAATTGAATCAGATAAAAAATGTAATTTTGCTAAAAGTTTTTATCTAATAATATTATATTTTATACCGTAAAAAAATTAAGTTATTTGAAATCATAATTATTTTATCTATAAAAATGTAAATTAAAATTAAGAAATATAATATGATCATCTTAACATCCTGAGATTAGAATAAACCTGTTATGAAATTGAACACCTGATTTTCCAATCGATATTCTTTCGCCTTATAGGGAGTTTATTTGAAATAATGTTAATGTGGCAATTGTTTTATTTCCATTTTGCAAAATTGTTTATATATTAGTTCATTTGAATGTCAATTTTATCACTTTAAACACTTTCATTTAAAATATTTTAATAAAAAATTTGCCATAATTATATATCAAAAATATACAAGATTTATTGTTAATAGATAAGTAAATACTGCCCGTTTTGCTTGTTTTTATAAAAAATAATCCTATCTTTTATATTATCAAAATAAGAAAATATAGACATATTCTTGAATAAGCTTAATAACGGAGCTTGAATGCGTAGAAAAATCTACGTGGAGTAGATAGTAGAGACCTACAAAATCAAAATTTTCCTGCCAAACGCCCGCGGCCCAATAGCAGCTGACCCGAATTATAAAAAATGCTTATAGAGGAAGTTCTCAAAAAATTTATTTTATCCTCTATTTTAATTTTATGCATTATAATTTAAATATTCATCAATAAACTCTAATAATTTAATATGTTTATTTTAATTATTTACAAAAATTATTATAAGAATTTCTTACCATTGTTTTTTTAAATTTTTTTAAAAAAAAAATACATTTTTTCAATCAGGTAAAGTAGGGAAGATTTTTTCGGGTCATGGGTCGGACCTATATTTTATTGATGATATTATCTTCGGCCCTGACTCTACTAGGAAGCATGGAATATTGGTTCTACATAATTTAATTTATAGTAGACACTTGAATTTCTTTTTAAAATTTTATCCTAATTTTCTTTCCTTTTTTTCTTCTTTTTGTTATTGATATAGTTATATTGATATATAATTTGCTTACATTTAGTATGAAGATTTGTCAATGAGTTTATATACTAATTCCTAATCTAGGATCTTATTTGCTAGGGATGATATAAAGTGGGCTTTTTTTATATCAATAGTTGCCAAAAAATATTTGAGGAAATTATGGATTCAATTTTATTGTAGGTATTTATCAAATTTTTAGATCTACAGTTTGTGCTGCTATATGGATAGTTAAGCAAGTTTTCTAAACTGTTGAGGTTAATGAAGATCATTCATATTATATTTTACGTTTTAAATTATATTTTAAATATAGTCATTAAAATATTTCCTTTTCTAATATATTTAATTACATACCCTCAACATTAATTTCATCCTTTTCTGCCTCGATACAAGGTAATGAATGGGCTAGAGTCAATTTATCTCTCAAAATCTCGAAAAGCTGACGAATAGCTAAGGCTACACAGAGTGAAGATACAACTTTATTGAATGCTAGTTCTCCCTTAAATTTTAGGAGACACCAGTTATCGTATATGATCTCTATGGCCATTTTATCAACAGACGAGCTTGAAATATTAATTTTTATAAGATAATAGTAATACTTAAATGAATTTAAACAAATTTAAACGTATAATGTTTTTACATTTATAGTAATTATGCAAATGATAATTTTAAAATAATTCAAAAATAATCAAATTAAGATTTAAAATCGACTATTATTTATATTAAACATGATTTGAGAATTTTCTACGCGAGTCATGAGGTAACTCAATCAACTCTTTATATCACAAAAATAGGTGAATTTTTTTCATAGAAACCTTCCAAGATCTTTAACAGCCATAATGATGGAATCGCAAAATATGTTCATGTAAGGGAATGGGTGCTGCAGAGTGAGTGGGTTCAGCAAATTTGGCTTGGCAGTCGTTTCTAATAAAGAGGCGTAAGATAGTAAAATTGTATCAGATTGGGGTCCTTTAGCTAAGTATAACTCTGGTTCAAGGGTTAACGATGAATGAGGGTGAATGGCAACGAATGGTTTTTCCTGACCGTAAGATTAGTAGTTTTGGAAAAACATGCATATTATAATAAGATAGATAAAATTTTAAAAAACTTATTAGCAACAATAATTGAAGCGATAATAATAGGCCCGAAGCATGCAAAATAATTAATTGATTTTAGTATATTTAAATTCCATCTGATGAGTTAATAAGGAATATTTGAAGGGGAAAAAAAGTTAATTGAGTCATTGGCAAACCTTCGTATGGTAGATCAAATCGGATCCTCTTTTAAAAGTATCAAACTGGTCAGGGATTGCTATGTGAGGATAAAATCCTGACAACAATACGAATTTAACCATTGCTATATCTTCGGAATTCATTTCGGGAACGTATAATTTCTAATTCGATATTTTAAAAAATTGTATTTAAAAATTAGTCAAAAGTGCATATTTATAACTAGTATTTTATAAATATTCATCTATTCGATTGATAAATCTAATAAAAAAAATGTCATTAATACCCCTGGTAAATTCTTATTCTTTATTATTTATTTTTGTCTAGAGAAATAGTGCATTCAAACTACTTGTTTGTATAATTATCCTTAAGCTATTTCCAGGCAAGTCGTTATTTTAGGGGCTCCCTAAGCGCGTTTTGAACAAATTTTTTTTATGTCCAAACAAAGTTGGATATATCGAATTTATTTTTTATTTCGCATATAATAAAAAAAAATTTTTTAAAAACTAACATAGGAATTCGCCTCTTTTTTTATTTTTATTAATGAATTAAATGGCAGCAAATTTATATTAAGCAAAAAATTCGAAAATTTATTATTTGTTTGAAAATTAAGAAAAATTGATGAAACTTCGCTTTAAAAAAAAGATTTATCTGAAAATAGCATTAAGTTTTAGACTGTGTAAAGAAGAAATTAAGAATTTGTCACTTATTTAATTTTCTAAATAACGATACATATCAGTTTGAATTATATTTATGTGAGCAAACATGCAAATTGGATATTGTAATCTTGTAGATATTTTGCATAAATGATGCGATCATTTAAAATATAATTATAGATTGAAATATTCATCCCCATATATTTATAGAATTGTGTCATCATTTAATAATTCCTTAAATGAGTTTTGAAATCATTATTTATCATGGCGATTCTAAATATATCATTTATTTGAGATCCTTGTAAATCAGCATGGGCTGCTAGAGTATATATTAGCGGTAAAAGTTTCATAAAAATTTAAACAAAAATAAAATGATTTACATATAGAGCAGACTATAAAATTACAAATAAATTATTAATTTTGAGATTATAAATATAATGAATGAAATATTAATAAGTAACTTGTAAATTAACTAGTTAATTCGGTCGTTATTTGTGCCCTTCTAAAAACAATTTTTTTTATTAGGCCTATCAACCGAATAAATGCATAAATAATCAATATACACATGTCGGCCATTAAGAAAAATTAATTCAATTGAATAACGCAAAGTTAAGAGAATATGGTCAGTCAGCCTAAATGGCCATTTAACCCCGGTGAGATAGTATTGCGCTAAAACCATTCATGTTAATCATTATTTTATAAGCTTTAAACACATGCCTATGCCCTTCATCTCGAAATTCAAGATTTTTAAATGAATAGACTTATGAAGTTTTGCATAACTTTGATATCATCATTTTGGACATATTTCAGTTCCATATCTTCGATATCTATATCGGAAGAAGAATCGATTTCCTCTGCGCCGGATGTATCCTCTTTTGAATGCGCTTTGTTATCATGTCCGGCGGTCTCTTTGTCTCTGATTTTAAGTACCTAGTTATTAAATTGATTAAATGGTAAAATAGATTAAGATAAATTTATGTTAACATTTTCGTAATAGTCTCCTGTTTAAATAACAAATTCTATTCCAACCGACTTCCTACCTATTAATGATAAAACCATGTCAAGGTGGGCTATTTTAATTTGATCATTGTTGCAGAGTTTGAAAAAAAAATTGTAATTTCATCTTTTTTTATGTATAAAAATTACAAAATATTCACTTATAAAAGTTTTTTTTTTAAAAAGAAATCTTTTGCTCATAAATTTTTTTTCAAACAGTTCGACGTCCATTATTGGTAAAATTGTATGGCGATAATATTATCCGTAGGAGGTTCACTTTACCCTCCTTTGAATTAAAAAAAACTTTTCAAAATTAATTTTAGATATGTTTTGTTATGTATTAAAAATATAGTTCGTATAGTACTAACTAATCCAGGTGGCATGATCGCTCACCAATAAAACTGCTGTAAATAGTTTGAATTCGAATCTTATAATAAAATTTAGTAATACAGTATCGGTAAAAAATCCGATATATTTCTGAATAATATTTTTTTTTACTAAACATGTAATAACAATGAGCCACAATTACACCTCCAAAATGTCGACAAATGAAAACTGGAATTGTCATGATAAACAAGGAGACATTGTTAAATTATAACAAAGGCAAGCTTTGATCTTTCGTAATTAGAAAGTTACACATATTTTTAAACCAAATTATTTAAAAATGGGGATCTCTGATTCAGCGTAATTTAGGACGGGCAACCATGGCTAATCAAATTTAAAAATATCAACCATACCTTAACTCTACCACTCTTAGTGAGTCTTTCCCGTTTGAGTCTTTTGATAATTCCTATCTCAGGTTTATCAGCTGATGCTTCGACATTATCATGACTAATGTCCTGACGTTTATTCGAAAATTCCCGTTTCATCAGAGAACCAAACTGTTTCCTGAGTTTTAAAACTTCATAAAGACGTTGTTCCTCGACCCCCACCTTTCGACACCATCTTTTGGCTCTGTTACTCGAGTTGGAATCTTGGTTAGACTTATTGTGATCGCGATTAGATCTTTTATTATCATAAGGGTTCATATAGGCGCTGGAATAATCAATGTCTTCGATTTTTAACTTAAAATTATGTTTTTTAAAAAAGATAACATTGGTGTATGTAAATAGAAGTGATAATACGATGATTACTTCAATTAAATACAACTAATTCAGAATAAATATACACTGCTCACCTTCGTAAGTAAAGGGGACGTCATAGTCTGGCTAACATAATTAAAATCACGGATACAACCATTGTATAATCAAACAAAACTATGCAATCTCATAATAACTCGAAATCGGTAAAAAAAAATATTATTTTAAAAATACATATTTTTATAGAAAGGTAGCTGTCAGAAAACCAAATATAAATAATATTTTATAAAATTTGCTTCTAATTTATGAATGACGTTTTTATCTTATTTGGTTAACCAAAAAATTCGGCCAGCTTTCGGTTTAGATCATTATTACAACAAGCAATTATATTTTCCATTGGTAGCTTATCCAAATCTAAAAAAAGGTCACGTGTTAATACAATGTATACACTGACGAATTTGTATTAATTAATATCTCTTTACAAAAGTTGTCACCAATCCATGTTACCTTGCATTATTTACCAAAAAAAATGGATAAATGATATTCATGAGCACATCAAATTAGAATGTGAGCATGATATAAAGTAAATTAAATCATTTTTTTAGGCAATCCAATGATTTAAAATTGTTAAACTATGAAATTCATATTAATGTATACCTTGATCCAGTGATTGAAAAGGTTGAATAGGGTAAAGGGATCCCCGTGTTGAGGCGATTGCAAGGATTGACGCGCGCAAAACGCTTTAACATCTCTATTAGCTTTAGCGTTAAAAATGGATCTTATACTGAAAATGGCAGATAGTGTCAAGGTTATATCGATAAGCTTCGTGGTGCTTTGTTATTTGTATAATGATATTTTTGATATTTGAAATAATGATTTAGATTAATTCATCATGACTTGGACGGGAAAGGATGCAGGCATGTATACAATATTTATATAATTAAGAAAGATCTTATTTTTTCCCAAGAATGGCCAAAAATAAAAAATATTTTATAACACCGTGCTTTAATCGATAAGACCTGAGGTCAATCATTAATAATCATATTATTAACTGTACCGATCCACAAATTATTTTCTTTCTTTCCAAGTCAACCTTCAATTAAAAATATGGTCCTGAAAGATCCCGTTAAATATTTTCAAATTATTTACATCCTGCAGCATATATAACAAAAAATAATAATATCCGATTTTTAATATGATTTTTTCAAACATTAAAAATAAATAAATTTTGGCTTTTTTAAAAATATATTCACTATTATTAGGGAATTATGTAAATAAAAGAAATTATATATGCTATGCTGTATCGTGATGTGGAATTCCTGGGAATTCGGAATTTCTCAATTTTAAATTATTTACTGAAGGCGGATTGAGCTTTCAAATTGGAAATCTGATTCGACCGGAAATGTACACGGAGTACCCATTATTTATTGTAAATTTCGGACAATTTAGCCATCAACTTTTGAACTACTTATTTCCAAAATATAATTTTTTTCAAAAAAATCCATAAAAGTTCATAACGAGAAATTTAACTCGTGAACTGGATTACCCAACACATTCTGGAATACATTTCCGGTCTCAAATTTTAGAAATCAATCCGCCTTCAGTTAAATGATTTAAAATGGAGATTCCAAATCTTCATGGACTACATATACAATAATTTTTAAAAATATTGGTCGGTGAGTAACGGTCTCGACCTATTATTTAAAATATCGACATAGCCTTAAATATTATAAAATCAATTACACTGATAACTAAATTTGACGGAATGATATAAAAATTAGCGTCCGGAATAGATGAATATTCACATTACAAAAAATTTTTTTAGTCTTAGATAGAAGTAAATATCATAATATTATAAAATAATCAATCCCAAAAATAATGATTCTATATTCCAATCTACTACCATAGAACACCTGTTAAAATCAACGTTTAGGAAATAAGCGTTCATGAGCATTTTAGCTACGGTGATGTCTAATGGTAAGCGAGCTAACAGTCTACCATAATTAGTCAATTCGACCTTGTCATCTTGTAATATTGTCAGAGCACCGTGTTGAGACAGATACGCTATAGAGGCATCGAGAGTAGAAGGGTCGGGTGGTTCTATAAAAGGGAATCTAATATTTATTTATTTTTAAATTACATTTTAAAATGGCAAAATTTTGAGCCTTTTATTGAGGCAAAATTAATTAGCATCTTTTTCTATACAAACTTAAGAATATTCGTGCATATTCAATAATTTTTTTTAAAAAATAACCGGGCAAGAAGTGATAATATTTAAAATTGAGCAATCATTTAAATTTTTTTTTATAAAATGAACACAATAATTCATAGTTGATAATAGTATAATAAATACAAAGTAATATATAGTGATAACTAGTGTTGTTAAACGGCTCGATTTGAAACGATTTTTAAAAACGGCTAACTCAACATTTTATCTAGAAAAATATTATGCAAGCCTGAAGATTTTGGTCATAGATGGCACAAAGGTTTGGACGTCTATTAGAGAAACCTCGAGGCTTAGGTAATATTTTTCTGGCTAAAATATTGAGTTAGCTATATTAAAAAATCGGTTTACATCGAGACGTTTAACAGCACTCGTGAGGTCTACGAAACATTTTACTTTTTGATATCCCCTCCAAAAAACTCTTCGCCAATACACTTCTCATTATTATCGCCTTTGTCATCAAGAGCGTCATTTTCACCTCCTTCACTTTTGGCAAAAGAATTGGTTAACTCAGGATTAATTTTGTGCAAGCCATCACCAAGGGCCAATATTTGAAGAACCAAACAATGTATGGGAACTTTCGATATTTCTGATAGCGAAAAGTCCTTGAAAGTTTGCTCGAAATGTTTTTGGTGATCATATAGTCGGTAGCAAATACCCGGTCCAGTTCTGCCTGCTCTACCTAACAAGTTAATATTTACAGATTACATTAAATGATGAAAAACAAAGAATTATTAAAGAATAGGAGAGGGGAGGAGTGAAGATATCACCCTAGGAGAAATGAGAGCTCGGAAAATTTCAAGGGAGCCTTTTGACAAGAAAATAATTTCGAATTAGGATCGTCGCTATATCTAGGGCTAATTTCATGTCCAAAATTTTGATAATTTTAAAACCTCTCTTCCGAATATTCCTAGCATTGGTAACAATGGTCATGAAGGCAATATTGGTGCCAGCATATTTTTTTTAAAACTTTGCTTTTTCTATGCTACAAATTCAATAGAAGTGTTTCAACAATAATAATATTTCAGGGTATATATTTAAAGTTTAACGAAAAGTGTAGTGGAAATGTATTTGTTCAAAGTTATATTAACCAATGCAGCTAAATTAAAATCTATTTTGTTTATCAAAATTTATTTCGTTTTAAATTATATTATTTATATAAACCTTATTGCCTTTATTATACAATCCATCAATTTTCATGAAATTATAAAATGGAGAGAAAAAGAAATATGGAAAGAAAGAAAGTATTGTATCAATGCTATTCTTGACTGATATTCATTTATAGGAAAAAAAATTAATTACTGATATTGTATTCACAATTGTTTCATAACCTTTTCTTTGTTCAGCACCAGCTTTGCTAATCCAAAAGGTTTTAAGACGCGACATTTTAGTCAATGGATCATAATGTAATTCTTTTACCTAATATTATGTTTTAAAAGATTTATGTGATAAATAAAATTGTTATTTTATTGAAAGTTTATTTTTGTAATGTCTTACTTGCTCATTTTATTTTAAATTTATAATTGTCCTTGTCATTCATTAAAATTGATTATTATCAAAATTATATAAAATTCAAAAACTAATTTAGAATATAAATTAAGGTTCATCTATAAATTCTTTTACTTGACATTATCCACAATATTAAAAGGGGTTCATTTGCATTTTTATTTCAAAAACATTTAATCAAAACATTTTGTTTATCATTTCTTTTTCTCCTTCCTTTTTTCTTTCTTTATGAACAAAATCATATATCGAATTTAACTTTTCCACTATCAATCACAAATCTTATACCATCTATAGTAACCGAAGTCTCTGCTACATTGGTGGCCAAAACGCATTTCCTATAACCAGCTGGTGTTATGTCAAAAACCATATCTTGATCATGAGTGGAGAGGGAGGCATGAAGAGGTAAGATAACCCAATGGTTGGAATTACCAATTAGGTTTGGGTCTGGGGCATTAACTATGTATAAAATGTTAATTATTATTTTTTTAGTTGCCATTGTTACATAGTTTTATGGTCAGCATTTTCAATTTCAACATGTCTACTAAATCTTTCTATCAAAACTATTATACTTACTGCAATATTAAGAATATACCTTTGGCTTGAAATCCTTTATCAAAAGAATATTCTTTAAGGGCACTAGCTACATTATTAATTTCCTGAACTCCAGGCAAAAATATCAACACATCACCAGGTTGATTAAGAGGTGACCCATATTTTTGGTCAATACTTTTGAGCAACCTTACATAAGGTTCAGGATTGCATAATTCATTTACCTTGAGCATTTCTTTATTATCTCTAACATTAGATTCATCATTAAGAGGAACGTAAACTAATTCTATAGGGTATAATCGTCCAGGAACCTTTTTTAATATAAATATAAATTTCAAAGAATATTTTGTGATTTACTTGTAAAAAGGCACATTTATCAAAATAGTCTACAAACAATTGTGTATTTATTGTGGCTGACATCAATATCAATTTAAAATTAGGCTTTGTCTTGGAAAATTTAAATTTGGAAAGAATGCATTTTAGGGAGCCAAGAATAAAGTCAGTTGTACAATGTCTCTCATGAACTTCATCAATCAATATACAATCATAGCCTGAAAGATTGGGGTCAGTGCCCAATTGCCTCAATAGAATTCCTTCAGTCATAAATAATAATTTATTAAAACTATCCTTTCTTGTTAAATCATCTTCATTCTTTGTGGTTAAAATATTTTTAGGATGTGAAAAATAGGTTTTATCAAATCTTATTTGGTATCCTATCTGTTTTAAATTAAACATAAGAATAATTATGAAATATTTTAAATAGCAATTACAGAAGTATTATTTTGAGGAAGATTTGTCTCAGTATTTAAAGTGAAAAATGAATCACCAAAAGTTGTGTTGATGTAATTTTGCATATCACTTGAAGTTTTTAACTCATATGCCACTCTTTTACATAAAGATATACATGCTATCCTTCTAGGTTGAGTACAAGTAATGTTTTTAAATCCTAACTCAATCAAATATTGAGGAATCTGTTTTTATATTTGGATCATTATATAAAAACAATTATGAAATAAAAAAGATACTTGAGTTGATTTACCACACCCAGTATCTCCAGCAATTACAATAACATCATTATTTTGAACTATATTTTTGAAATTGTCTTTAAATTTAAACATGGGTAAATTTTTTTGAGCATTAATTATTTTATCATGTTTATTTATAAATTCTTTCAATAGAAAGTCAAAGTAGCAATATAATATGTATAAAAATTCATAAAGATATTCAGAAGGAAAGTTGAATTTAAATTCTAAAATATAAATTAATTTACATTTAAAATTTAAAACTACCTTGAACATGATAATGCAAAATTTTACATATATTAAGATATGCATTCGAATTTTGAAGCAGCTTATTTAACTTTTTTATATTTAATTCACGAATAAAATCCTTAGATTTGTCATTGTCTAATATTTTTTGGAAGCTTTGATATTTTATTACAAATTTCCAAAAATCTTCTAATTGTGATCTTTTAAAAATCTTTTTCTTTAAAAGAAAAGTTTCTATATTCATTTTATACGTTTTCCAATCATGTTTCTTATATGATGGGTTATTATATAATTTTTGAAAATGTATCAAAATATCTCGAGAAAATTTTTTAAAATTTGCACTCATTTGAGAAAAATTATACTAAAAAGTATCACTATAACATATGTTATATCATCTGTCAAATATCGACATGATAAAATTTTATACAAAAACTATGCAAAAAGGGGTTTTAAGTTTAATAGAATATGGTTTTAAATCTATCTAACGTCTAATTAAATTTTCCCTATTAATAGGTAACCAATCGCAGCAATATCCGAGAGATTTTTCAAAAGTAAATAAGATAAAAAAAAATTTAATATATTGTTGGATTTTATTATTTTTAGTCAAAAATATCATATTTTATTTCTTTATTTCATGTTAAAAATTATAAATCTCGACTCAAAGAACAATTTTTAGTATATAATAAATTTGTCAATTGATTATTAATCCATTAATGTAACAATTTGTTAAAAAAATATATATATCTTTAAAAAAATAAATATTTTTAATAAAATATATATCTTTAATATATATCTTTAAAAAATATATATTCTTTAAAAAAATATATACCTTTAAAAAAAATTATTCTTAAGTTATATTTGAACGATAGTTAAATAGTATAAGTTAATTTAAGGTAAAATAAAATAAATAAAAATTTGATTTAAAATAAAATTGATTTAAGTTACGCCAAGAGATAAAAAATGCTAAAAAGAGAAAATATATTTGAAGCATAGCAAAAAACTAAATAAATTGAAGTAAAACAACAAATAAATTGAAGTTAAATTATTTAGTTAGGAATATGCAATAAATATCTTAAAGTTAAAAGAAGAATAAATAAATGAATAAAAATAACAAAATATCACATTCTTCTTTCAAAAGTTGTGAAAATTCTAGACAATTTTTTCACGCTAAATTTTGTAATTGAGTTTTATTTTTCTCTATTTTGATTAACATCTATTAGATCATTCCAGAATAACTTTGGCTTTGTTGTGTCATTAGCTTGTTTTACGGGTGCAAATACATGGGTCATTTTCGTGTGACGTGGTCTCTTTTTCTTTTGAATTGTTCGTTCCTTGCGGCTGTCAGTGTCTTTGTTATCATTTCATGTTATCATTTTTCGAATTGCAAGGTAATTTCCATGTCAAAAAATATATATTTTATATTAAATACTGCATGTTTCAGAAAAAATTATTATCGCGTTTAAAGTACTTGAATATGCAATTTATCATGTATTTCTCTAAATATCGCTAATACTGCTACCTATAATATTCATAATGTAGTCTTCCAAATGTTTCGGAATTTGCTTTGGTCTAATGAGTCTGGAAATATCTCGAATTGATTTTATCTCATTTGTGATTTGTTTCCCTTCATTACCCCTTTCGTAAAAAGTTATAGTTTGTGGTTCATACAATGATATATATAACATAGATTGGCGATTCATTCATTAAATGCATGATTATCATTGGGTTCATATGACGGTGCGTCTGTTCGGGATATGGGTTGGGTCGTTGTGTTTTTTTAATGTTACGTTAAAGCTTGCTGATTGTTTTTATCTTATCTAAATGTCCCATGACAGTTTAAATATGTACCATTATAAGATAATATCGATATTATAGAGTCTAATCAATATCCAATACTTTTTTTAAAAAATTATAATAAATTTTTTTAATTTATTTTAGCAAGAACCTGGAATTATGTCATTTTTATCTTACTGTTAAATTTTCATTTTAACAAAAAATTATTTCCATTCCCGTTTCTCATTTCATTCCATGCATATAATATATATCAGTCATTAAATCTTTGTAGTAATTGATACATTCTCTAAAAAATTATCATTTATAATTAGGTTATAGTATTAATATAACTATGAGCGTCAAAACTCCATACACAGATTGCAAAATTATCCATTGACAAACGAAAACTTTTTATTTTATTTTATATTGTAGTATCAATTTCATAAGAGATAAAATATTTTAAATTTGATTTAAAAAAATTTTTTTTTGCAATCTTACATTTACATGTACCTATTAATGAGTATAAAATATTATTATTAAAAACAGTAATTAAAAATTGAAAAATAAATATGTATGAATGACCATTTTAAATATTATTTTTATATTTATGCAAAAAATATAAACAAAATTTTCTGGAGGGTCTCCTTTTTTTGATCGTAAAATGGTCCATTTGGTCCATTTTCGTTTTTATTCATATGCATTTATTTAATCGTAATTATTCTATAAAAGCAATTTTTTATCAAATTCAAGCAAGCAATTTTCAATATCATCTTTTTCATACAATTTTTCGGAATGCCTGCAACTGCCCCAAAAATATTCCTAAAATCACTCGGTTCCTAAAGCACTCCAGAATTTTCCGCAAGTTTCTTTTCCATACCTTCTCCCTGAAATTTTTTTTTTACATTTAAAAAAACCAATTGGAATTAAACTGGTTTTTTTTCTTTATTGTAATTCTATGATTGTATATATATGATTAAATTTTTTTAAAAAACGATTCAGTCTTTTGACATGCACGCGATGTGAGCAATAGTTGATTTGTAATTTTCAGAGTCAAGGTTTATAAATTTACTATTTTATTAAAGATCAAGTATAGTTTTAAATAGTGTGAAATTTAAGAAACTTTCAATTGCAAAAATTTGAGAAACTTAAAATGGCTTTGATTTTTTTATTAAGAAATTTATATTCTATAATTTTTAATATATGTTAAATTCTTTTTTTTGTTTAAATTTAAAGTAACATTTTATCTTTTATTTTAAACTTGTTCCAAATAATATCTTTGTAATTATGCTTTGAATCTTTGAGCGCAGACGCTAAATAAAGAAGCAGTATTCTTACTTTTGGGCCTATTTATTAAAATATATGAGGTATCAATGAACATAAATCTCAACGCTTCTAAAGAATTTTTGGATATGATCCTAAAATTTAATTTAGCAGTTAACACGCAACAACCCAAAAACTTGATAGCATTCGCAGCCAGTTATTTCACCGAGTTGGCGAAGGAGGATAGAAGTAGACATTCCTCAACTGGAAGCTCTAATCTATTAGGGGCCAATCTAAATCTTCCAGATGTATCTAAAAGCCCATCTCCATCACCAGGTTACTACTTATTTTACATTATGAATTTTTTTTTAAACATAAAATTTTTTCCAAAAATTTTTTTTTATAAATTATTAGAACCCCCTCGTAATAGATTGTTACGCAGACAGTCAAGTAATCAAAAAAACTTGCATTTTAATGATTAATGATTTTTATATTTTCACACACATTCCAATATTTATTCCTGCTTTTTTGTAACGTTTAACCAAGTTGTATGACACAAATTATATTCAAATAGGGCAAGTTCTAAATTGAAATATTATAATCAAAATGATATATATCTAGGGGAGACCGGGGTTATATAACAACAAGTGTTGAGTTGGCAACATCCACCCCCCCCCCTGCTCCGACATTTTATTGAATTAATTTGTATGATAATTGGGGGAAAATGTTTTATTGTATCTCATTTTACCAAAATCCTATATTCTTTTGTTTTCTGAAAAAAAAAATATACCCATTTAAATTAATTAGTATTTTATATTAAACTATATACGGAACACAAAATAATTTTCACTTATAAGTTCTATATTTATTTAATATATATAAAACGCAATAAACAAAGTGTTTATATGTGGTGCTTAGATAAAAATCTGATTTGATCGGAAATGTATTTTCAACATGATATCCGGTTAAAACAGAATTTTCAAATTCGAAAATTCAAAAGTGGGCTACAGTAAATAATTTGAAATTATGAGATCCCGAATCCCCATATAATTTCATATCCCATATATTTATTTAAAATTTAAACCATTTTAAAATTTGTAAAATAGAGTTGATGCCATGTTTGTCTATTTTATAAGTATAATTTTTGGTAATATAACACATAAAGATACAAAAAACAAAGTTACATAACACGGGTTTAAAAGAGTTTTTGAGGTTTGACTAGCCCCAAATATTATGGGCCAAGCCACTTATATACCAGGTATGGGGCTGATTACCTAAAAATTGATTGACTTCCCTAAAAACAACTATTAGAGGTAATAACTTTGATTTCTATTTAACTTTTAATTAAATAAATATTTTAATCAAAAGTAGTTTTTAATGGGTTTTGATGAAAAAGTAAAAAAAATGTCTATATAATTCCGGTCTTCCTTACCAAATACATAATTCAATTGTATATTATAAAGTTAATTTTAAATCACTTGATGATTTTCTTAATTTTTTTTCTAATGTATAACTCGTTAAATTACGATTTAGCATTACATATTTTTATTTTTATTATATAATATTTTTATATTTTATATTTTATTTTTATTATTATTATTAAATTAAGTTTCATTAGAAAAATACGATATGGACAACTTGGATGATATAGTAAAATATAAAATAAAATATTATTTCATCTGGATAATTTTTTTTACTTCATTTGATCAGAAATTACTAATTCAGAAATTTAAAAAATTTTCCAGAATTATTTTGATTTCTGATAAAATATTAAATTGCTCAAAACCTTTTCTCTATTTTCAAAATTTTTTTAAAATATATAATAAGTTAAATTTATATTTTTTT